TCGCCTTGAAAAGGATCCCTACCTCATTACCTCATTATTATATGGTGCCCAAATACAGTGCCTGTTGAATCAATGCCTAGCTCATAGTAAGTGCTCAATAATGTTATCTATCATCACCATCATTTATCTTTTTTTTTAATGTTTAAAAATTGATTTTTAGAGGTAGAGGAAGGGAGAGGGAGAGGGAGGAAGGATGGGAGGGAGAGAGAGAGAGAGAGAAACAACCATGTGAGAGTGAAATATAGATTGCTGCCTTCTGAATGAGCCCACAACCTGGGCATGTGCCCTGACTGGGAATTGAACTAGCAATCTTTCTTTCAGTGCATGGCACAACACTCAACCAACTGAGCCACACTGGCCAAAGCAACCAACACTTATCTCTTAAGGAAGGTGGTATTTGGTAAGAGTTGCAACTGGAGTTGAGGGAATTATTAGAAGAATGAAGAGGGATAGGTCATTATGTTTCTTTTAGTTGAAGACTTGGAGTTTAACAGCTTTATTTCTAATGCAGAGGCCTAACAGAAGTGACAGCAGGTACAAAGCATGACTGGAAGAAACAGTGCACACTATGTCAGCTGCCCACTTTGTGGGAAAGCCCACAGCCTGGCCTCTTGGAGAGGTGGTAAGTGGAGGAAGTGAGAGAGAGAGACCTCTAAGAGCTGTGTGGTGAAGTGGGGAAAAGAATGGACTAAGGTTAGGAGGCTTCTACCTGTGTAATGAGCAAGTTTTACAAAACACCTGTCACACTTTGTGACCACCTTCCTTCAGGGCTCAGCTCCCTCATCTGCTCTCGGGTAAGTGCTGCAGACCTGGGCCTGCTATCTCACACTGCCATTTGATGAGTAAGCGTGAGTCAAATTGTCACCTCCCCAACAGTAGACACATCTTTTTACAGCAAAATCCACCAGGTGCCATCTACTCAGGGAGAAGTGGTGGAAAAAAGTGGAAGAGAAGCTCACCTGGCAACCAATTTGTCTATTTTCTCACATTTTGGTTTAGAAAGGGGAGCACCCTGAAGTGTTCTCATCATGTCCAGAGTGAAAGGTCAGGCAGAGTACTCACTGGAGTAGAGCACTCTGTTCCAATACACCTGCTCCCTCCTTTTTTTGTCTTCTTACAAAAACACACAAAACAAACAAAAAAACACACCACAATGTTTACTACTGTCAATCAAAGAGAATTCTTTTTAATACCACACCCTGCCAGTATAGAAGAGACAGGGCAACACAATGCTAATATGGTATTGATGGAGAAGAAAGTACTTTTTTCCCTTCAAGGTAAACAATGTCAATGGAATGTGCTAGGACAGATGTAAGCTGTTTCTTTCTCTTTCTCTCCCTCCCTCTCCCTTTCCATCTCTCTTTCTCTCATTATTTGTTTATTTCTCAAAAGAAAACATTCTCCATCAGTAAAGCATTTTAGGACCTCAAGCTACATGGTCCGCAGCTACACTGTCTAAGGCATTATATGTCAAGGACCAAGTCCAAGGCCATCCCAAGGACATCAGACACAGAGAAGTAACTTCTGAAGCAGGGTCTGGCGGTAACACCGAAGCGTACTCAGCAGACAAGCGCCATCCTTGTGAGATGTTGGGAAGCCAGTGTCCTGAGGGGAGGCTGGAGTGAGGCCAATGCTCCAGGAAATTAACCCAACTACTCACCGTGAACTGCCCTTATTTTGCCTTCACTGCTATTCAAAGGGACCCAAAGCAGTCACTGAAAGCAATTCCAAGAAATGGAGCTAAAAGAAAATTTTTTAAAGGCGCAGAAAAAATCATTTGAAGAAGTGTGCAGACTTCCAAACTGAAATTCTGAATGGGACAGGATTTTTTTTTTTTTTTTTTGCAGGGGGAGGAGGGGTGCATAATCTTGGCATGTTTGTTTAAAAAGAAATCAGTCACACCTCAAACACATCCATCAATAATCAGAAAGATAGCTAACACCTGACAGGAATTATTCATTTAAAATATCCTTTAAAATATGTCACAAGAATAAGCTTACCTGGTCCTCACCCATCCCCACCCTCTAACATAAACAAATAGTCTTGCTATTGAAGCCAATTTCTTGTTCTTGGAATCAGCTTTTTGAATTGTCAGTTAGGCAAGATGAACTGATAACCTGACCATAAAATTTACCATTGTCAATAGCAAGTCAGATAACTCTTACCAAAGAAATATATCAAAATGTTTCTTGAGGGTGAATTCATCCATCTATGACACTGCAAGTCTTTCTCCTTTTCTGGGTCTGTTGAAGTGAATGGTACGCAGTGGGACATTTCATTTGCCAATTAGATAGCACAGTCCATTTTAGAGTGAATCTATTCTTTTCCTTTCTTTCCTCCTTTCCTTTCTTTCTTGATTTTTGGACATTCCTAATAAAGTTCAAAGTATGTTTTCTTTGGACATAATTTTACAAATAGTCTTTGAGAACCTATATCAAAGTTCAAGTCGCTTTGTAAACACAACATCATCAATGAAGCCGGGAGATCTTAGGTATAGTGATAGCAATGGTTTTAAAATATCCGTGTGATTTTTATATTGTGTCATTCCAGGGACCTTCCTGAATGAGGCTTTAAGGAAGAGATTAACATGGAGAAAACCAGCCTTTGAAAGTGGCACTCAGGCTGCCTTCAGTCTAACCTGTGAGGGAAGCAAGGGGCCGAGGAGACCTCAGTCCCACCTGATACCACTGTTTCCTACTCCTCATCCCTGTGGACTTCGCCAGGCCCCGCATTTTATTCAACTATAACCAAAAAATGGGGAGCAAAAAGGATGATGTAGGAGAAAATTGAAAACCAAGAGCCAACTATAATGAATATCTTAAACTAATGATGTATTTTATTTTATTTTTTAAAATATATTTTATTGATTTTTTACAGAGAGGAAGGGAGAGGAATAGAGAGTTAGAAACATCCATGAGAGAGAAACATTGATCAGCTGCCTCCTGCACACCCCCTACTGGGGATGTGCCCGCAACCAAGGTACATGCCCTTGATTGGAATCGAACCTGGGACCCTTGAGTCCGCAGGCCTCTGCTCTATCCACTGAGTCAAACCGGTTAGAGCCTAATGATATATTTTAATATTCTAGGAATTTAAATTTGTATTAACTGTTATTTGAATTAATGTCTGGTGTGTGTATTGAGAGAGTAATTGCTGAACTGGGGGAAGTGAGTTACAAAGACTTCAGCAATGGGTATAAGTGGCCAGTGGGTCAAGGGGTGTGAGGTCCCGAGGAGCAGATCTAAGATCTCCGAGGTTTCTCCAGGAAGGCTGCCACGAATTTCACTCCGGTGCTGTTCTTCCCCGCCTACAGCAAAGCCCAGACAAGCCCTGGGAGAAAGGCACGGGGACCAGAAAATAAGCAGCAGTTCCTACATTCTTCAGTAACATCTCCCAAACCTTAAAAAGTGAAGCTTTAAGAAAGCTCATTTTTGTATCTCCAAACCATCGAACTGTGAAATGGGATGAAATATTGATAGTTCCACATGACATTTCATGGGGAAAGCTTCTGTGTCACAACTACCATTTCCATTGAATTCCCAGTGTGCCCTTGTCTTGACCCCCATGGCTGAGTGAGGTCTGCCCAGCCCAGAAACAGCGAAGTCTGTGCTGACTGCTGTAAAAGCACTGAGCTGCCCCAGGACCAAACTCTGTTGCCTCTGAGTGACTTCTGAACTGGTGGCTGAAGTCGGAATTCTCCTGTGATTACCAGAGATTATGACAACGCAAGTCACCATTCTGGGGTCCTCTTGGGCAGGAGTTTCCCTTTGGTTCTCCCTCCATTCAGCTTCCCTCACTCACTGTGTGCTGTACAATTTTGTTAGTCAGGGAGTAGTAATTCTGATCCAACCAGAAACCTGTATGATCAGGAGTGGGGTGATCTAGACAATGGACGCCTACTGCTTGGGTGGAGGTGCTCCTGTGTTGCCTTTGAATGTCCTTTTTTTGGGTTTGTTTTTTTGTTAATCATCACCTCAGGATATTTTTTTCCCTTGATTTTTAGAGACAGTGGAAGGGAGGTGAGAAACAGAGAGAGAAACATCGATGTGAGACAGACACATTGACTGGTTGCCTCCCACACGTGCCTGGACCAGGGCTGAGGATTGAACCCGCAACCCAGGTACGTGCCCTTGATCAGAATTGAACCCGAGACCCTTCAGTCTGTGGGCCAGCCGATGCTCTATCCACTGAACCAAACTGGCTAGGACGAATGTCCTTTGTTTTTGTTATTGCTGTCATCTATCACGTTAATTTTCTGGAAGAAGAAAATTAGCGGCCAATATTTTCTTCCAATAAAATCACTGGCATCAGTCTCTACACCAAAATGAGGCTTGACCTTCAAAGTAGTGATGTCATTGCCACAAACTACTTTGAACCACTTCTTTGGCAACTGTTCTCCGTACCAATGAGATGAGAAAGACAAGTTTGTCACTTTATAGTCTTTTTTTTTTTTTTCTTTAAGGAAAATGGCCTGGGCTGATTTCTTCTCTTACTATTAGCTATTGGTTGTTTTCAAAAATCGAATTCAGTTTTCCAGAAGAACAATGGCCACGATGGAAAATATTAAAACACTGCTAAAGGAGCTTAAAGTAGTTCCAGAAGAGGAATTGCATATGGGTTTTTGGCAGTGACCGTGAGCATTTTTGGCACAAGTATTTATTAGCCTCCCCAGTTGAGTGCCTTGAAGGGGCAATGTTCATGTGGGAGCATACCTCCCAGTACTTTTGTTAAAATAAAATCAGCTTCATTACCTAATAATGTATATGACTTTGGGAGGAAACTCGGAGCCTCATATTTTATTTCTCCTCACCATACCGTTCAATTAGAGTGGGCTTCGTGGAAATTCTGATTCCATTGCCATCGCTGCTGCACTCAAGTATGCTTTCTGATGTCATGCTCTGAAATAAACGAAGTTGTTTGCTACAACTACCTACACACAAATTAGAAAATTATATGACAAGGCGTTTAATACAGCCTGCAGCTGGGACACAGGTTATTACCGAAAGTCGTTGTCGGCATGGTTTCTGGTTTTGCAGTAAAAGAAGATGACTTGAAAGGACTCAGTGGTTTTGATGCTCTTCTGGAATGAAAACATTCAGTGAGTGCAGAGCATCGGGCTGTCATTAATGTCAGCCATGCGAAAACACTGTCTCCAAGAACACTACCGTCATTTCCCTGTCGAGACCAGGACTTTCCACTCTCCGGCATTTCGGGCACTGGGCTGGTACTTTCCCAAAAGAGAACCTTTGGTCGATCCATTCTGGGTACTCCAACACATAGAACACTTTTCAGTTCATAGGTGGCCCAAGGTTGCCAAAGTCATCCAATAATTTTGACGGGAAGATGTGTTCCTTTCTGAGAAATATTGAGAGTGAAGGATGAAATCCTTAAACTTCGGAAGACAAGTATAAATACTACATTTAAAGGTACAAAATGTTGGTTCAAAATAATGTGGTGGATAAAAGTATACAACTATCGGAGTAGCTTTATATTACTTCCCTTGAACTTCTTGATATGTACAGTTTAGCATGGTCTTATTGACAAAGTAGACAAATTTCTGGTATTCTTGATATGTCTGATGCTGTGTAACACCTTTTATGTACTGTGTCTGTTGCCTGATTATGTTGTAAACAAGCAACAAAACACCATGCTTCATCCCAAAGTTATGAGGGTCGTAGAATGAAGCGCGCTGTGTGGGTGGAGTTAATGGTACAACATTAAACAACAGAGTTGCCCTGTATTTTCTCGTTCTGCAATCAACTGGTGCACAAGAGAGAAGAAAATAAAGCTATTTTCTGAGGTAGGGAGTAAGCATTAGGAAGTGGTATTTGCTATCATATCACCAGGGTACTTTGTTGTTCCTGTTATTTTCCTCCCCCCATTCATGGTCCATGAATTAATTTAAGAAACAAACAAGGCATTCGGGAATAGGCTAACTATAAAACAGTATTTGCTCTACTCTTTGGTTTCAAACACTCTAAGAGAAAGATAACATATATATTTTTTTTTAAATCTCACTCAAGGATATGTTTTTATTGATTTTTTTAAAGAGAGAGAAACATCGATTTGTTGCCCCCCATATGCGCCCTGACTGAGGACCAAACCTGCAACCTAGGTAAGTGCCCTGATTGGGAATTGAACCTGCATGCAACCTTTTGATATACAGGAGGATGCTCCAACCAACTGAGCCACTCAACCAGGGAAATACCAAATTTTGGATAAGAAAATATTTTGTAATTTCCCAGGATGTCACATATTTGTCATACTTGCTGTAGTGGTAGTATGGCATTTTTAATATTACATTTTTATTGCAATGGTTTTTAAATCTCCAAGTTGAGTTCTCACAAAGAGATTGCCTGAGTTGGGGAGGGTGGGACATCTCGTGATACACTTATGGTGATCTTTTAATTTCACTTATGTTCTATGCTTTCAAATTATAAGCTGAAAATGCAATGTCACTTTCCATTCTCTCCTATCTCATTTTTAATATAAAAAACAAAAAAATAAAATTCTATTTTATTATTTGTTTGTGAAGTAGCCACAAGTAAGATTCTAGGGTTTCTGATAAGTGTATATTTTTCCCCAGCCATCAATTAAATCACAAAGACAATGCAGCTCATTTCATAAAACAAAATATAAGTGATTTTTGAAACTAAATGGACAAAGGACATACTTGCTTATATTTGAGCTGCTTTTGACCCAGTAAAAAATACAGGAGAGGAACACCTAAGACTTGAAATCTTGATGGGAATTTTAATGTTTTAAGTTGTTCACACCCAACCCCAAACATAGTCATTTAAAAAAATAATGTTTAAAGTCATAAAACTTATAATCTAGGTATCAATGATTTCCCCCTACAGTATTTAACAAAAATACATTAAGAAACTTTGCTACAGAATGATATCTGGAAAATATCAACAGAAATGTTATCAATGATCAATCCTTCTCCCTTATACATTAAAGAGATTAAAACTATTGTCACCATACAATAAGCTTTCATTGGGAAAAAATTAATCTTTCTTAATGTTGTTTGTTTTCCTCAAGGGCAGTCGGAAAAAAATGAAAATGTGACTCAAAGGAGATGAAGAAGTCTAAATAATGCTACCTTAATTCTGAAATAATAAAAGTTCAAGCAATGAATGGCTGAATTCACACCTCAAATTACACCAAATACAGGCTTATAAAAATAAGTTTTCGTTTGTGTGAAATCATGACCACACTTAGAGAAAACAAAAGAAGCATTTTGCAGAACTATGCTGGCTTTGCTGCTCTTTCTGCTAATTTAGATTGTGCAAAAGATTCATTGTGTGGACCACTTGCTCTTTGTCACACTCAGGCAACACCTTTAGAGGCAGACAAGACAGCTATGCAGTAAGCAGTCCCTTTTCATCTTTTAGATTTCTGCAAGGAGATTTCACATGATTCCATAAATGAAATAACTTAAGTAATAACTAGAGCTCTGCAGGGAATATGCAACACATTAATATACCCAGGCAGAAGAGATCTATGCATATTTACTTTCAGCATTTGGAAATGGCTGGTGAGAGTGATTCAGTGCCCTAGCCTGTTGTCTTGATCATCTCATGTCTTTTAAGCAAAAGGAAATGTATACTGCATAATGGCTTTACCACTCTGACCTCAATGTGGAGTAAAATGACAGATAACAAGAAGTAGAAGCTGGTCACTTACACAAGAAAATGATTTGGATGCTTTGGCTCATTCTGGTCTCTGCTGAGTTACCCACATCCTTGTCAGCAGATGTGGCTGACAGTTAAAACCTGCTATTTTGAAGGCTTAAGATATTAAACACAATTTGGGCGTATGAAGAGTCATTTTTTCATTTCATAAGCAATCGCAATGCGAGTCCATTGCCCACACTAGTTCTCCCCAGGAAGGGAAGTTGAAAGATCTATTGCCTTGCAATGAGCCTTGCTGGACTTCTTCCTCCGAAGCTCCTTAGCTTTAGACAATCATAGCTTTTGTTTGGTTTAGGATGCTCTAAAGAGCTAAATGACCCTTTCAAATCACAGATTTCTGACCCTTAAGGACTTCTGAGATGACCCAATCAGACCCCTCCTTTTTCTTTCTTTCTTTTTTTTTTTTTTAGCAACTGAGGCTCTGGGAGGTAAAGTGATTGTTTTGAGATTACCCAGGAGCGGCCACCATCCACATCCGCTCATTCTCCTGCCATCTTCCCAACATACCAACTCTCCCATTTCACAGATGGAATAGTAGAACCAGGGTCAACAGAAATCACTCACTTGAGAGGAGTGGGCAGAGATTAGTTAATTAGGGTGGCTGGCTGACGCCTTGGCAGCTGCGGGGGGCGGGGGCTGATCTTGAGGACAGGAAGTGGTATAGTTCATGGTTCACATTAGGAGAGGCAGTACCCTTTGGCATCACAGACAGAATGCTGGGCAACTAAGGGCGAAGAGAGGTCCCAGCAGATCAGAAAAATGATGGGAGAGCCACGGAGGAAGATTACCCTGGAATGAACCTGTGTCCACTTGACATTTTCCCCAGTCTCAGTCCTAGCCACGTGCACTTCAGACATATCTAGAGCTACAGAAGCTTAACTTGCTGGAATGCTACGTAACTATCAGCCCTCTCCACATGTTTAGAATGGAAGGTCTATGGAGCAGGGGCCTGTCTTTCTCAATCTCTATCCCCAGTGCCTAGCTCAGTGACTGACATACAGCAGGTGCTCCAAAGAAGTGGGTTAGAGGATCCTATCACCTGCTTCTAGCATGTACTAGTTAATCCCTATCACCCTAGAGCAGCGGTTCTCAACCTGTGGGTCGTGACCCCTTTGGGGGTCGAACGACCCTTTCATAGGGGTCGCCTAAATACATCCTGCATATCAGATATTTACATTACGATTCATAACAGCAGCAAAATTACAGTTATGAAGTAGCAACGAAAATAATTTTATGGTTGGGGGTCACCACAACATGAGGAACTGTATTAAAGGGTCTCGGCATTAGGAAGGTTGAGGACCACTGCCCTAGAGGGAATGAAAGGGTTGTTAAAGCTATCCTAGACAGCCCTAAACAAGTTTTTCTTCTAGTATGGAAACTCTGTGGCAAGAACAAAAATAACTTAAAGGATTCCTAATTTATCATAAAATGAAACAAACAAATAATAAAATCAGTGGGGGCAAGCATTCTTTTCTGAACTACTTTTATGAGAACCTACAACCCAAAGATGCCAAAGAAATTCACAGGATTAGGAAAAAATGGCCATGGGAGCTGGGGGAGGGGGAAGGGACACGCTCATGGAGAGAAAAATGGTAACTACTCTCCTGACATCAAGGGCTAGCCCAAAAGTAGTCCTCACATGGGCGCCCTGTGTGTGCTGTTAGATGTCAGGAGTAGCTTTAGAGATAGACAGATGGGAGCCTAAATGTTAAGTAGGCCACTTATTAGCTCAGAGATCATGGGCAAGTTATTTAACCTCTTCAGTCGATGATTTTCTAATCTGTACCATGGAGATAAGAGTAACTATTCCACAGGGTGTTATGAGGCTCAAATGCAAGAGTACATCTAAGCAACTAGCTCAGTGCCTGGCACACAATGGTAGCCGCTATTGCTATTATTATATGAGCTATTGATATTTTGACTTGATCTCAGATAATACTCAACAATCAAAGTTAATCTCCATCTGCTTTTCTGAACCAGAAATTACTGCTTTATCCTGGGATTATTTATAAGGTCAAGGTAGCAAGTGGGTGTCAGCTCATTTCCTAATTCAGATGGGTTTCTAGTGGATGTTTGGGATGCTGGTTGAGATGCACTGTGCTGAAATTGATGTTGACATCTGCCAAGGGTGTGGGGCCAGGCTTGCTGGTTCTAATATTAGAATTGGTAAGCCTCTGCTAGTGTCACAGAGCCTAACAGCTAAGTTAATATTATATAACAAAGCATAAAGAAATGGAAAGAATGGGCTGAGTCAAGTGGTCTGGGCTCTAATTCTAGCTCTGGAGCTAATGTTGATTTGCCAATATTGATTTTGAAAATGTAAGTAAATACATATAGGGCAGGGCACTTGGCCTACAGGACATCCTTGATGGTTATTTGTTGAGATTATCTGAAAGAAGAATAAAAGCCCAAGACTATCATACAGAAGTGTAATAGTTAAATATTTCCTGCCCTCATTCAAAAGTTTGACTCTTCCGATCAATGAGGAATATTTTTGAAAGGAGAAAAAAGATTACAATATTTTTGGCACTAAAAAAAAAATCAGCTAATGCTTAGGGATGCTCCAAGAAAGACAAGGCTGTTGAGAATATGGTAGCTCTTTAATAACCAAGGCACCATTTAAAAATAGCTGGAATTAATTACAGAGCTAATGACCCATTGAAAGACTTATTTAAATACCAAAGCCAGCACTGAACAATCATGGAAAATATGGCTTAAGAGGGTTTTTGAGAGCAGAAACCAGGAACAGCAGTTGAAACAAAAAAACACATTATCCTAGAACACTAGCTACTTTGGTGAGAAACATTCAGGATGTGAAAATCCCCGGGGAGTTCTCATACCGGGTAAGAGAAGCCACCAGGATCGACAGAAAGACAAGGAGATGACACACACGGTCACAGTCACCTGCTTGGAAAAGAAGGGCCTCTATTCAGCATTCACGGGAGAGGGGAACCC